TGTATGTATGTATGTATGTATGTATGTATGTATGTATGTATGTATGTATGTATTTTAATGTATGTATGTATTGTAATGTATGTATGTATTGTAATGTATGTATGTATTGTAATGTATGTATGTATTGTAATGTATGTATGTATTGTAATGCATGTATGTATTGTAATGTATGTATGTATTGTAATGTATGTATGTATTGTAATGTATGTATGTATTGTAATGTATGTATGTATTGTAATGTATGTATGTATTGTAATGTATGTATGTATTGTAATGTATGTATGTATTGTAATGTATGTATGTATGGTAATGTATGTATGTATGTATGTATGTATGTATGTATGTATGTATGTATGTATGTATGTATGTATGTATGTATGTATGTATGTATGTATGTATGTATGTATGTATGTATGTATGTATATGTTTATATGTGTGTGTATGTATGTATGTATGTATGTACTGTATGTATGTATGTATGTATGTATGTATGTTATGTATGTTATGTATTGTATGTATGTATGTATGTATGTATGTATTGTATGTAATGTATGTATGTATTGTTGTATTGTATGTATGTATGTATGTATGTTATGTAATGATTGTATGTATTGTATGTATGTATGTATTGTAGTATTGATATGTATGTATGTATGTATGTATGTATGTATGTATGTATGTATGTATGTATGTATGTATGTATGTATGTATGTATGTATGTATGTATGTATGTATGTATGTATGTATGTATGTATGTATGTATTGATGTATGTATGTATTGTATGTATGTATGTATTGTATGTATGTATGTATTGTATGTATGTATGTATTGTATGTATGTATGTATTGTATGTATGTATGTATTGTATGTATGTATGTATTGTATGTATGTATGTATTGTATTGTATGTATGTATGTATTGTATTGTATGTATTGTATGTATTGTATTGTATGTATTGTATGTATTGTATTGTATGTATTGTATGTATTGTATTGTATGTATTGTATGTATTGTATTGTATGTATTGTATGTATTGTATTGTATGTATTGTATGTATTGTATGGTATGTATTGTATGTATTGTATTGTATGTATGTATGTATTGTATGGTATGTATTGTATGTATTGTATGTATTGTATGGTATGTATTGTATGTATTGTATGGTATGTATTGTATGTATTGTATGGTATGTATTGTATGTATTGTATGGTATGTATTGTATGTATGGTATGGTATGTATTGTATGTATGGTATGGTATGTATTGTATGTATGGTATGGTATGTATTGTATGTATGGTATGGTATGTATTGTATGTATGGTATGGTATGTATGGTATGTATGGTATGGTATGTATGGTATGTATGGTATGGTATGTATGGTATGGTATGGTATGGTATGTATGGTATGTATGGTATGGTATGTATGGTATGGTATGTATGGTATGGTATGGTATGTATGGTATGGTATGGTAGGTATGGTATGGTATGGTATGTATGGTATGGTATGGTATGTATGGTATGTATGGTATGTATTGTATGTATGGTATGGTATGTATGGTATGGTATGTATGGTATGGTATGTATGGTATGTATGGTATGGTATGTATGGTATGTACGGTATGGTATGTATGGTATGTATGGTATGTATTGTATGGTATGTATGGTATGTATTGTATGGTATGTATGGTATGTATTGTATGGTATGTATGGTATGTATTGTATGGTATGTATGGTATGTATTGTATGGTATGTATGGTATGTATTGTATGGTATGTATGGTATGTATTGTATGGTATGTATGGTATGTATTGTATGGTATGTATGGTATGTATTGTATGGTATGTATGGTATGTATGGTATGGTATGTATGGTATGTATGGTATGGTATGTATGGTATGTATGGTATGGTATGTATGGTATGTATGGTATGGTATGTATGGTATGTATGGTCTGGTATGTATGGTATGTATTGTCTGGTATGTATGGTATGTATGGTCTGGTATGTATGGTATGTATTGTATGGTATGTATGGTATGTATTGTATGGTATGTATGGTATGTATTGTATGGTATGTATGGTATGTATTGTATGGTATGTATGGTATGTATTGTATGGTATGTATGGTATGTATTGTATGGTATGTATGGTATGTATTGTATGGTATGTATGGTATGTATGGTATGTATGGTATGGTATGTATGGTATGGTATGTATGGTATGGTATGTATGGTATGTATGGTATGTATGGTATGTATGGTATGTATGGTATGTATGGTATGTATGGTATGTATGGTATATATGGTATGTATGGTATGTATGGTATGTATGTATGGTATGTATGGTATGTATGGTATGTATGGTATGTATGGTATGTATGGTATGTATGGTATGTATGGTATGTATGGTATGTATGGTATGTATTGTATGTATGGTATGTATGGTATGTATGGTATGTATGGTATGTATGGTATGTATGGTATGTATGTAATGTATGTAATGTATGTAATGTATGTAATGTATGTATGTAATGTATGTATGTATGTATGAATGTATGTATGTATGTATGTATGTATTGTGAGGAACGCCAGTACAGAACACAGAACCGGCGCAGCTGCTTTTCCCCCTCACGAGGATTGCGGTCGTGAGCAGCGTTCGCTACTACGTGCCAATCAAGCTAGTTAAGCTTGAGCCAAAACAAGTTAGTGAAACAACTATACAACATGCATGTGAAACATGTGTGAAAACCGTGGCAGAACTAACACTACTACGCAGCTAGACTAAGATGTGTCACAATCGCCCCTCAGCTGGTTTGGTGCGTCTGCCATCATTCCAGCTCATTCGAGTGGATAGTTCTGCCCGCGCTAATGTCGCGATTCGCAAACAAAACCCGCTAGGCAAGAATGAGACCTTGGTGCTATACCACACCGGAATCCTCAATCTTCCTTGCTACTGCACTTCAGCAGTAGATCGCGAAGCACCGACTCTGCGTCGGTTGGAGTCGCCCTGATCCGCTTCGAATTGATCGATGGACGATCCACTCTCAAACACTTCCTCAAAAGCCGACTCCCAGTGACGGACCAACTCCGTGCCTTGCTTTGTTGTGAGGCCGATGCTGGCTTCTCTGTTGGCCTTTGAGGAGGTTGTGAAATTACAACTTCCAATTAGAATTTGGACTTCATCTCCAGGATGGCAGTGGACTAGAATGCTCTTTGCGTGATGCAATCCTTGCAGTTTGGCGCCTACGCGCACAGCGCGTCCGTCGCTGCGATACGCCTCATTTACTCCCAAGCCGGAAGTCAACCGGACCTTGGCTCCACTGCTTTTCAATTCTTTCAAAACCTGGAGTTGCTGTTTCGTGCGGCCTGCCGCCTGTGCGCGATCACAGACCAAATAGCAGTCACACCCACGGGTGGAGGCTGCCTTCAGCCCTTCGACTACTCCTGGTTGGTCAAAGCTATATGCTCGGACGTAAGCCTTGCAGCCCCTGCCAAGACTATTGAAGACGTTGGCAACCCACTCAAAGGATTCGCCATCCTTCAGAAATTGGACCCTCGCTTGGTCCTCGTTTCCTTTGATTTGGACAGAACTGGGCAGGGCTAGAAGGCCAGATCCTTCATCCACTCCGGTGTCAAGGCTGAGGGATTCCGTTACGACCTTCTCTTTATAGGCCGCAGAGTCCTTGTTCAATACTGTCGGTGGGGCTGACTTCACGGCCTCCTTCAAGGACTTAGCTTTGTCAACCAGGCCTTGGAAGCAGCCTCCGAATCCTAAGTCTGCACTCACTGACCCAAAAGAGGCAGGCATTGCGCCTGCTCCAATGGCTGTCCTTCCGCGAGCTGCTGCTCGAGATGCAGAACTTGAACCTCCTTCGACCGAGCTGGTCCCCGCCAGCTTCTTGTGGGCCTCCTGGGCAATGCGTAGATGACCACACTTTCCGGTCGACAGGAAGGCTCGGCAAGCACATCCAGATCCACTTCCAGAGATTCTCACTCGATGAACCTCCTTAGACCCCTTGACCTCCCAGACGGATGAATTTCCATCGAAGTTCACCAGGCGTGGATCCGTGTTGCCGTGCGAGAACCGACACCAGAAGTTCCTTAGCTTGTGGCCTAAGTACCACACCGCTAAGATGCACAACCCTTGGATCGCAATCCCAAAGACGGCGACTGCACCTCTCAACTGGTAGCCACTCTCAACGATCACTTCCTGGATCGTGTCTGACGTGCTCGAAATGGCTTCTTGTACTGCGTCTGACGCAGCACCGACGATCTCTTCCGTCTCCCTCAGCACTGGGACGGCCAAAAAGCAGCAGAACACCCCTGCCACTTGGCTCCACCCGTTCCCATGTGCTGCGTGGGCCGCCTTGTTACGGCCCTTCCTCGATCTGGCCCATAGGCTGCCACGTTTAGCAGCCTCCTTCTTACTCCTTTTTGGCCGCGCCGCGCGAGAGCCGCGAAACGCAGGCCCCGCCGCGGCTCGCTTCCTCTTGGTAGTCTTTCGTTTGTG